GTTGGAACGATTGAGTCACTTATCCATATTTAAGTGTGTAACCGTGTACGATATTTACCACAAATTCCATTAACATTATATAATATTGTCGTCCTAGTTCAAATAACTACTTTTATGACCTTTGCCATGTCATGGATTCCTTGCGTCACTGTATTATAAAAAGAATGCTTATAATATACTTTAAAATAATGCACTTCAGTATGAACTGAATGTAATTTGCAATTCGATGAAAAAGTATTATAGTTTAAATTTATATTAAATGCAATAAGCTGCAACTTTAGAATGCCTTTTGACCCACTTAAGTATAACTTATGTACATCTTTATATGTCATTTCATAAATTAAGCGTTAGTGTTAGTTCTGGCAGGTCACGTGAGTCAAGCTTGCATCAGCTGATCACATCTACCTATAGGAATATGACACCTATCGCGGCATTCCTATATAAGCTCTATTCAGTATTATTCAGCAGCTTTTCAGCTTGCTCCGGAGCAAATTACCCTCCTCCATCCCCAGCTCCTCCTTTCGCCACAGTCAGGACTTGGCTTTCTGATATTCCTTGCTAATCAGACTCCTTTATCTTGAATAAAGTGTTACACTTAAATATCATTAAGTACATTAATGATATCTGCCTTGTTCTGTTCTGTTAACCCTAGGGGGGTTATTATTGCTGCTCTCCCTGCTCATTCATGACAGGCTGCATGGACGGGCAGGGAGTTTTTTGTCCAGAACAGAACCATACCGCCAAACCAAACTTTATGCTAAGTATCTATCATTTTGACGATAGTGGTCCTGACAGAATTACTTTTATTGTCTTCGAAATATGGTAAAAGTGTATCGCCAAATGTACTGACAAGCACTAAAACATACTTTTTAATGTAATCTCTACTGAAATGTGTACTCATGTATTTAACCATATTTGTAATTACACATTTGTTATGGTGAAGATGCAATTTAGTACATTTAAAATATATTAACAATGCAATATCGAATAAAACACTTACACACATGTGCACTTTAGTATGTTAGTCAACATCAAAATAAGCATGACATGACTTAAAATGTAATTTAAAGTAATTCAATATTTTTCATTATTACTTGTTAAAAGTGTACTTTAGCGTGTTAAGAAACATGAAACATTAAAGTGTCTCTCTTTAAGTGCACTTAAGTGGCCTTTCATTTCATTAATATTATATTATCTGCAAGCGGAGTTTTAAAAAAAATATATACTTTAAAGAGTTGAAATACAGGACAAGTGCGTATTCAATACAATTAAGTACACTTCATTTTCAGAAGGCATACTAAATAAAGTTATACAACTAGTTACATTCAAAATACAAAATGTTCATACTAGAGATCCAGTTGCAAATCCTGGCTGAAAACTAAAGTGAGTTCTCTGCTAACACAACACCCATGCATTACTAAAAAACCATGGTGCATTGGTATTTACCAAGCAGACTCTTAATTAAATAATTCATTTCATCCTACCTCAGAAGGCTCTATTGCTGCTTCATCCGCGCTCAGGTCTCCTCAGCTGCCCTCTGCACAACCTCGCCTCTGCCTGCAAGAAGTCACATGTGAGTCTGAATGAGAAAGAAAGCCATCCTATGCTCAAGTGTAAACATAGGAGTGCTTCCTTGACTGCCACTGTGAGTAAACAGCCTTCCACAAGCATTTACAAAAACTGCTGTCTGACCTTATTATGGCCTTAGGAAAGGGCTGAATAAAGATGTTTAGTGTGTGTGTGTTTTTTGAATTTTAATGGTTTGGATTGGTCTCAGCGCATTAGAGTAACAAAAAAACAGGTTTTACAGCCTTGTAAAAGGAGATGACTTCTGAACAGCTAAACAAAGAGAACAAATGAGAGGAAAGTGGATAAAGAAGAATGATGCAACTGAAATATGTGGATTCATAAATGGATGCATTTTGTAATTGATCATTGACAATAACCATATTTATTGGCTGCGCTAGGAATGTTGGAATAGCTAAAACCACATTACTCATACAATTATATTAAAGGCTTTAAGGATACAACAGTTTGTCACCGGGGCAGTACTCTCAAAGGGACGCCTCTGTACCTTCTAAAGGTACAATATTTGCATATTTTTGTTCTGACAGTGTACTGTTTGAAGCTGCAATGCAACTCATTATGTTATCACACTGCCAAAATTGTAACACAAAATCATAAAATAATGAAATATATTTTTATTTATGAGAAATAATGTATGTGCTCTGTGTGAGCTTACTGTGCCAAGACAACATTTCATCCAAGAAGTAGATTAATTTGTTTATTCGTGGGAATGGATTTGGTTGAAATAGCATTGCATCACTTGCTCAACGATGGATGCTCTGCAGTGAATGGGTGCCGTCAGAATGAGAGTCCAAACAGCTGCTAAAAACATCACAATAACCCACAAGTAATCCACACCACTCCAGTCCATCAATTAACGTCTGGAGAAGTGAAAAGCTGCCTGTTTGTAAGAAACAATTTCATAATTATGACATTATGTAACTTTAAACGGTCCCTTCTGGCTAAAATACAAGTCGATAATCCATAATAACGCTTCCTCCAGTGAAAAAGACAATCTTCTGTTGTTCTCTAACATCAAAATCCACAGCATATTTGTTTAGAGCTGTTTTGCACTGTTTTCACTTGCAAACAGTGCATATTTCGCTCCTGATTCGGACAAGACAACTTTTCACTGGAATAAGGGTCTTATGGATTTGTTTATTGCAAACACAGCATATGTGACCCTGGAGCACAAAAGCAGTCTTAAGTCGCTGGGGTATATTTGTAGCAATAGCCAACAATACATTGTATGGGTCAAAATTATTGATTTTTCTTTTGTGCCAAAAATCATTAGGATATTAAGTAGCGATCATGTTCCATGAAGATATTTAGTAAATGTCCTACCATAAATATATCAAAACTTAATTTTTGATTAGTAATATGCATTGCTAAGAACTTCATTTGGACAACTTTAAAGGAGATTTTCTCAATATTTAGATTTTTTTGCACCCTCAGATTCCAGATTTTCTAATAGTTGTATCTCGGCCAAATATTGTTCTATCCTAACAAACCATGCATCAATGGAAAGCTCATTTATTCAGCTTTCAGATGCTAAAAAATAAAAATTACCCTTATGACTGGTTTTGTTATCTAGGGTCACATATATTGTTTACTGCATAGTATACAGCAGTTTGTACTAATATCCATATTCCTATTCGCTCGTGACTGAAAAATGTTCAGAAAGTTCAAAGCTTCAGATGGGTTTAAACTGGTTTTTTGACCGCTAGTGAGTTAAAATTTTGCTCATATTTAATAGTAATTTATTATTTGAAAAGCAGGATGGCGAAATAAATAATAACAGATTAGTAGCCTACAAAATAATAGGACCCAGTCACATAACCACACGATTTATATTTTAAAAGAGATGGATAAAGTAAAATGAATAAATAAAAAAATAGACTAAATGGAATTACTACGTAATGTCGTCAACCTCGACAAAGTTTTAGATAGTGTTTTCATTGAGGATCATAACTGCATTTACATTGCGTTTGACCAGCAGATGGCCTCACTGTTTGAACGTTAGTAAATCAATTTCCAAATGTATTTATTCGTTTGCGTCGTCAGTCGTAAGTAGTAAATAGACTTGATACTGAACTCAGCGCAGTAAGGCGATTTTGCTACTGTAGACTGCAACCGCAAAACTGATCTCAAATAGGGATGGGCGATACCCCTTATTTTGTTCTCGATACGATACCGATATTTTTCAAGGCAGTATCGTCGTTATCGATACCGATTCGATACTTCTGCACTAAACTTTTAAATTATGAAATGTATTAAATTATTAAATTACTAAGAGTAAAATGGGTAATGAAAACCACTTAACTTTATGTTTAAAATGCATTTTAACCCGTTTAATCCCAAATTTTTCCCAGACATGAAAATATCCAAATGATGTGTCATTAGTAACCCTTTGAAATAATATATATATATATATTTTTTTTTGGAAAAGTGTGTGAAAAATTCTATTTTATGGTCAGTCACAGTTGTAACCGGTGGGATAATGTGTATACTGAATTAACATATTTTTACAGTCTTAAACATTGTTATATATCTTAGCACAGCTATTTGAAATTGTCTGATCACATTCTAGGGTTACTGTTATGCATAAAAAACCCTTATACCACATTGATAGCAATACTGAGATCAAATACAAAAAAATACAACCATCAACGTATTTCAAAATTGTTACTTTTTTGTAACATATATCATCACATTTTTATATTAGTGCTACCAGTATTACAACATTAATATTCTAACTTGTTTGTAACATTTGAACTTTTGATTTAGTGCAATAT